CATCTCCTATCCCAAGGGTAACAGGTTCCCTGATGCCTCCTGGGGGGTGAAAAATCATAGAATCGTACAATTGAAAGGGAATGTAGAGGTCATGTAGCTGAACCCTCCTGCTCAGTACAGGATGTTGGGTGCTAAGAGACCCCAGAAGGTAGAAAACAAAGTATTGTGGTTTCCCAGGAAAATGTTAGATGAAGGCTGCTTTTCCCAAGATACAATACTTTAATTTCTCTCTGAAGTGAGATGGTCATTTAACTCCGATGAGGTGGTTTATGATGAACGTTGAAACCTAGCAGCCTACATAATAGATTCAAATGTTAATAAATAATAACAAAGTAAGGAGGAATCTTAAATGCAGCTATGAGAAGACATCTACACCAGCATGTAATAATAACTTTTAACAGTAATAATTGATGGAGATCAAGTAAGACTGGGGAAAGGTAAAAAGAGGTATATAAAATCCAAGAATATTTTCAATCCTCTCCCATTCTCGCGTGGTAAAATTGAATTAATATTGATCCGTTATTGCTACTTAATTCCAGTAGCTGTGAGTGGCTTTTTTTGGTGACCCCCAAGGTTTGAAGCACTCTAGGAAAAAGGGGAACAATTAAGCAGTTGTTGTAAGTGGGCAGAAATAGATAAAATGTCTACCCTCTGAATTAAATCCTAGTATTTAGTAAGAATATTCCTGATCTGCTGGGAGCGATATGTAACATTGGACATAAAATTTGCTCGCAAGCAACACAGCCATAAAAATGTACTGGTAATCCATTTGGAGCAGTTCTGAGGAGATATCAAATAATGTTTTTAAACACGTGCTTCTTTTCTTTTCTTTTTTTAGCCAGCACAATCTGAGATTCATTACATAAAGCCCCTTTAAGACAAGAGGAAAGCACTTTTAAAACTCCCATCCCATAAAATATCTGAGCATGTTCTGGTTTTATTGAGGTAGACGTTTCCACTAGGATGCTGATACAAGGAGACCATATTCTTGCTGTCTCAAGCATTTTGCAGCTTGAAAAGTCTGCGGGTTGATCCCGCCTTGGACCTCGTTGAAAAGAAACGTTGCAACCTCACATTATGGACCTTAAGCCCCCCCCCAATAAAATAGAAAGCCCCAGATGCCACTCAAAGGAACCTTAATGTTGGAGAAACGTCTGGTGGAAATTGGTGGTAACTGAATCAAAGGCAGCTTGACCAGGAAATTAAGGGCAGGTAATGTCCACATTTTATGGTTTGAAGATTGCAAGCTTCACTTACTTAAATCAGGCCTCTCCACTTTGAAGACCCCTTTCCCTCTTATTTCTGAGCAGGATGGTCTAGTTTGACCCTAGAGTTGGCATCACCCACATACACATTAACCAGGAAGGAAGGAAGATGCCAGTGCCCAATCTCTTCAGCGTTGAGAGCACTGGTAATAGTTTTATGATGCCTTGGCACAGATTGGATTTTGATTATTTTGTTGCCCCATCCTCCAGAAGAAGACATCCGTGTTCAAGGACCTTCAGATGATGGCTTTCGGAAACAGGCGACAGGATGCCCAATTACTTGCAGGAGGCATTTGCGCCTGCTTCTCTTTCCTCCCTCAAATCTGGAGGCCACATAGGACTAGCTAGAACACAAGCCCTGGGACCTCCAAGATAATGTCTGGCCCAAGGTCCCCTTCTCGAGGATTTCCAAGGCATCCTTAGCCCACCTGATGTTCTGTCAGCCCTCCAAGGTAGACCAAACTTGGAAACCAAAAACACATAAGCTAATACTACTTTTATTATAAGGCTATAGTAAAAGAATCTTGCAAGTCTGAATGCGTTTCCCCCTTCCCTCCCTTTATCTTCAAGAGAATGAGAGAGGGTCAGTCTGAGATGCTTTCTCAGGCTACTGTTCTGCCCTGGACTCAGGTTGCTCTTATCTGACCCTTGTCTTGGTTGCAGCTCTTCCTCCTCAAGGTTATTCCTTCTCCCCATTACATATTCAATATACATAGCTGCAAGACTGGTGTGGTGCCATATAGCTTATTTCCAAGAAGTAGCAATGCCTATTACGTCCAATTCAAACGTGGTTTTGCAGCAAGCTTTTGGCCCAGCTGCAAATGAGAAAGACGATGCTTCAGCCAGCTGGAAGCAGAGCAACATACCAACTTTCCCTGATGGTTAATTGGTGTTCCTGACATTTCCTTGGGTTTTTGGGCCATAACTATGTTTACAGCACAGCTTGCACCAACCTTTCATCTCCCCTCTCAGTCATCAGCTGCAAAAAAACCTGTCAACTCTTCGACAAGGGCATTGGGTTTCTATGGAATAACGACAGCAATGCTTTGAGTTTCCTGCTGATTTCGTGACAATTTGGAAATCTGAGCGTGCAATAGTTAGACCAGTGGTGGTGAAGGGACGGGTGCATCTCTGAATGCGTTTCTTGCAAACTGCTGGCGCCACGACCAACTGGGGTCCCTAAAAAATTGGGCCCTGTTGTTTTCCTGCCATTTGGAGAGAGGAAGCCATAAAAATGGTAATGTAAGGTCTAAAACAGATTGGACTTCATTTTAAAAACAAGCCCTCCCTTCCGCTGGCTTTCCTTGTTTCATTTAAAAGCAGACTTCCTGCAAGAAGATTTCCTAATTCCCATTAGAGAAGAGAAGCAGAACAATTCCATCGTCAGCTTCTTCTAACCCTTAACGAACTGGCTGTTTTGAAAAACTCCATCCTTTTCTTCTTTCTTTTAAGCTGTCCCTGAAGCCGGGGGAGAGACCCTGTTTCAGTGCTGATCTTGGTCCACTTCCCTGGAAGCGTTTCAGCTGAGCAAAACACCGAAAGAAAGAAATAATTTGGAAGAGAAACATTGACTTGGTCGCTGGTCGCACTTCTAGAGTTTGAGGAGTATTCAGAGCAGGCTCAGAAGACCGTCCACAGCTCCATGCTTAACCCAAAAGGAAAAATGGAGAAAATACTGTACTTCCCAACACCCTTCTGAAACTAAATGACCACAAAATATATATCTGGGACAAATGCCAGAACATCAAGACTAATGAAAAATATATGTATCATGTGCAAACCCTCGCAATGCGAATGGAGCAAAAGCATGCTGGGGGGGGGGAAATCCAATTTACAAAAGGTTTATTGCAACACTGTGTAACACCGTCAAACCAGATTAAGAGCTTCAGGGGGTACGGCTGGGGAGCGTTGAAATAAGTTAGCGCTTAAATCCTCTGGTATTGTTCTGTAGCACGAAAATGGGAAGAGGCAGACAGGAAAGATGATAGCTTTCTGTCTTACCTGGAAGTGATGATCGATGTTGACACTTCAAGCTGAGTTGTGATCTGTATATTTCCACTGTTTTCTGCTCCACCGGAGAAATGCGACCATGATTAATCCATGCTGTCCAATGAATCTAACCAGGATGTTTCTCACCATCAGAGATATTCCAGTATTTATTTAAAATACTATACACTTGGAGCCTGAGTCATGAAATCTCTTCATATCTCTTCTATATTTAAAGCAATAATGCTATGAGCTGATTAATTGAAAGAAACATCGTCAAGTTTAATTCTTTACCGACATATCTAGAAGACTAAATGTTCTTTAAAAATACTTTGTGAAAGGCTGTGCTGTAAAATAAAGCCAGCACCACATTGCAGGGATTAATCAAGCTTGACGTTAATTTCAGATGAATTCTGTACCCACGTTTTTATCCAAGGGTTCGACCATACATCCTACATCTCAGTGATAACATTTTCCTACTCCAGATGAGTGATAACGCAGGAGACTGGAATGGCACGGGGCAAAAAATAAAATAAAATTACATTTCCATATGTCAGCACAACATTCGAACTGCTGGAATATCTCAAGTCATGAATGAAATCATAATATGTTTCTTCATCCCGTGTACAGATGGATTAGTCTGGGCCAGAGAAAGAGAATTATGGAGGTACACCATCGATGACCACAAGGTGGAGCTGTGCTTTATAAATATTTTGCATCTGGAACATTGTTGGGTGAAATTCGTGACACTACGGGGGGTATTTCGAAGGGTTTACTTTCAGGGCAAAAGCTTGCCTTATTTGAGACGATTGATTTGCAGTCTTGTGGAATGGTCAAGAGAAGCTCTGGGACATCCCTTTTGGAAACCCCTTTCTGGTGACCGTTTTATGGTGTCCTCTCTCTTGCTCCTCCTGAGATTCAGAGCTGGACTATCCCGTTCAAGGCATCGAATTGTAACATTTTAATTTTAAATGGTACGATTGCTCTGGAAAGCTTAGATTCCTTGGTGTCGGGAAATCTGAGCTGGGGAACATCTATCTATCCATCTAGTTGGGAAAGGGGTTTGATCGATGGATTTGATTGATTGATTTGATTTCTATCAAGTAAATCTATCCATCTAGATAGATTACTGTGCAGGGTGAACTTGGAGGAAGAAGGCTGAGAAACAGATAACTATGCAGGGGGTTTGGGAGGAGAAAGCCCATAGCAGACAGACACCTTGCTTCAGACTTGCCTGCCATCCCCACCAAGAACCGAATCCAAGCAGCTACATCTGGAAATGGCCAGAAATCCTCACTAAAATACTGGAAATACTTTGAAATACTTCTGACTTAAAGCTCATTCCACCCTACAGCGCATCTCCGCCAACATTTATGGCCTGCCCGAACAAGGCTAAGTTGTTGTCTGTTTAAAACACACGGCCTTTCTGCAAAATTTCTACCCAAATCTGGACACGAGACCTCCTCAAAATCCTCCCGACTCCCAACAGGGAACTTCTGCGCCCCGGTGCATCTGTGCTGGACATTGCACCAAGCTCGCTTGGTTCTGAGGGTTTCTGCAGGAAATATTTGCCCTCTTCAGGGCTAGTGTGTGTGCGTGTTTTTTTAAACAAAGCTGGAGTGATCGGCTTACGTTAAAAAAAAAAAAGGAGGGGAAAAGAAAAAAGGGGAAAAAAGGGCTAATAATTAACTTTGTGCAGAGTGGAGCCAGCTGCGAAAGCAGACAGCAAATTAAGGCAAACAACTTTGTTTCTACAAGAAGTGTGTTCTGCAGCTGGATGAAATGTTCTTTTGTTTTTCACAGCCATGTTCCCGACGTTCCTCGGGCCAAGCCGGACCTGGCGGGAGCAGCCCCTTCCAGCCGAAAGGAATGTCCATAAATCATCAGAATCACACCTCTGCAATAGGTACAAATCCAGTTTTTTTTTTTTTCACAGCCGTCAAAGCAAATTTGTCTCCCAGGGTTGCCGTGTCTCTCCCCAAAACAGCTTCCCAACCTCTCGGTCCATGTTCAGATGACCAAAATGTGCAGGCACAGCACCCCTGACTCTTTCTCTGTTTGAATCTTTGACAGCAAGCAGGATTTGGAAAGGAAACTTACAGGTGCTCCCTTGTTTTTCCTCCCCCCAGTTTTCCGCAGTGGCTTCACCGGCGGAAAACCGGGGGCAGAATCCAGGGCAGGAATCGAGGCAGCGCGGCTGGCTCCGCAGTGAAAGCTCCCGTGCCGCCCTTGATGGAATTTCACAGGCCACTTATTCATCATTTCCTAATTGGAAAAGGTTTTTTTTAAAAAAAAAATATATATATACCGTAAATAAAGCTCTGTCTCATAAAGATAATAATGAGCCAAAATTAATGCCCTGGACAGAGACAGTCCAGATGCGTGCAGTTATTTTAGGAGAAATACGTTTCCAGTTACGGCACTTTCCAGAGATGTTGGACAGCGAGGATTCCCACGATCCCCAGCCAAAATGGTCATGTCAAGGGACCAAGCCTCCCAAATAGAAGAGATTCTCTGCAGCTCAGGGTTGAACTGTGGAGTCCCCGGGCTCTCTGAGCTTGGCGGTTGCCTTGCAGACCTTTCATGACCCAGCTAGGTCACATCCTCAGTGCAAGTCAACATTTTGGTCATCTGAACATGTCCCGAGAGGTGTGGAAGCTGTTTTATACAGAGACACGGCAACCCCAGGTAACGAATTTGCTTGGATGGTCCTGCCCAATGACTGTGGAAACAATCCACCTGCATGGCTGGGCCACGCCCACTCGGTACCCCCCACCTGGGATCCTCACCTTTGCAGCCACTGGAGCATCCTGGCCCCACCCACCTGCATGGCAGGGCCACGCCCACTCGGCATCCCTGCCCCGCCCACCTTTCCCACCGTTGAAAGATTCCACTTTATTGGGAGCCGACCAGTTGATTCCCTATTATTGAAGCCTGAACCACATTTTTTTTTAAAGTGCCCGTTTATTTTATAAAACAGAACAAAGAACAAGACAAGAGCGTACAGTAGTGAAAACCGGGGGGAAAGAAATCAATAGGGCTGCCATAAATATTATCCATCAAATTGTATTAGGGCCTCTCCTTCGTGTAGATACGTGTATAAAAATGTTTTTCCACAACAGCTGCAATCAAGGATGACCATATTTCACAGCCGTCCTTTATCTGTGATCTACGACTGCAAACAACTTGTTCTCACAAGTAATATCCACTGAGTAATGGGGGCCATAAATTTTTCTTTTCGATGTCAAAGGACTCGTCTCTTAGCAATAAAAAGGACATTTGTTTTTTGCAAGGCGGGGGGGATTTTTTTCTGACCGGGCCCCCCCGCCCCCCGGCTGCCCGTCTAATGCTCGGCGGCCGGCGGCTCGTAATGCTGAGAAATTAATTTCAGATTTTGGAGGGCTCTTAGGAAGCCTCCCCCGCCTTTCGGCTCCCGATCTGTGGCTACCAGGTTTCGTCTGTCTGCAAAAAACAAGATTCCTTTTCCAGAGAAGACAGGGCGTAGGTTTGGGTTTTCAACGTCTGCAAAACAGGGCAATTAAAAAGCGAGCTGACAGGCGGTGTTAATTAGAAGTTCTTTTCCTTTTTTAGATTCATGGGATGATGACAGGCTACTTCTTCTGCGTCCCTGTTTCAGACAGAAACGACGGTAAGAAAACCCTTCCCTTTCTCGCCGCAGCCGCACCGACAGATCAGGAATCGCTTCAAAGCCAGGGGAGACTCAGCTCCAGTGCTGTGTTCGGACAACACGTCTCCATGCATGTGTATGACTCGTATTCCACTCTGTGTACAATTCAAGGCGGTGTACATAATGCTCCCTCCTCTTTCTTTCAACACAACCACCCTGCGAGGTGGGCCGGGCTGAGAGCAACTGGCCCATAGTCGCCCATTTGCTTCCATACCGAACCACAGACTACGACTCATGATTGACTGGATCCAATCCAGCGCCTTCCCACCATCTGCTCCTCTTCACATCCATTAATCAATTAAAGGGCTTATTTCACACCCATTAATTCTTAGCTATCCCACCCGGCGATTTCTCAGCCCTGGAACTTAAGATGATTTTTCTGGAATTCAGGGTGAACGGTCAAAAACTCAGGAGGGTGGCTGCTATGGTGCCGTCGAAGCGCCCAAAATGCACCCAAAGAGCAGCCATTTTGACTTTTTTGACCATATCCTGCAGACCCCCCCCACCAGAATTGAAGCTTCCTTGACGTTTTGCTCTGAAGCTGCACCCAAAAGCGGCCTTTTGGGGCTCCCCTCATTTCGATGGCACCCTGGGCGTTTTCTGCGCACTGCTTTTTAAAACGAGAGCAGCAGCAAAGCAATTGTTTGATGCAATGGTTCTGTTTTGTTTTCCGCAGACGCTTAAGCTGTTGCGGCAGGTCGGGACTATTTGCTCAAGAATGTGGTTTGATCCGTAAATTGTCCAGAGGTGACAAGCAAGGAAGGAATGTATGCCATTGTTATTCTGAACATGTGTACCGGTCCCATCTTACTAGGTGCTCTTAGAAAAACAGTGCTCGTTGAGAATAAACTAGGTTTGTTGACAATTAGAAAGGGGAGACTATGGAAAGAAGGAAATTATGATGTAACCTTAGAGGCAGAGGGTAAAATATAAATGCACTTGTAACTGCTGTTAAGAAGAGCGAAAACTACTTCTTTATAACTTCTTTCTTTCTTTCTTTCTTTCTTTCTTTCTTTCTCTTTCTTTCTTTCTTTCTTTCTTTCTTTCTCTTTCTTTCTTTCTTTCTTTCTTTCTTTCTCTTTCTTTCTTTCTTTCTTTCTTTCTTTCTCTTTCTTTCTTTCTTTCTTTCTTTCTTTCTCTTTCTTTCTTTCTTTCTTTCTTTCTTTCTCTTTCTTTCTTTCTTTCTTTCTTTCTTTCTCTTTCTTTCTTTCTTTCTTTCTTTCTTTCTCTTTCTTTCTTTCTTTCTTTCTTTCTTTCTCTTTCTTTCTTTCTTTCTTTCTTTCTTTCTCTTTCTTTCTTTCTTTCTTTCTTTCTTTCTCTTTCTTTCTTTCTTTCTTTCTTTCTTTCTCTTTCTTTCTTTCTTTCTTTCTTTCTTTCTTTCTTTCCTTTCTCTCTCTTCTCTTCTCTTCTCTTCTCTTCTCCTCTCCTCTCCTCTCCTCTCCTCTCATTTCTTTCTTTGCACTTTTTTATTTACTTTTTTCATTTTCTTTCAAATCTGTATTGTGTTTATTCTTTTAAGAAAAATTGAGAGAGAGAGAGAGAGAGAGAGAGAGAATAAACTAGGATTGGTCTTCCAAGTTAAGAATCATGGACAGGGACTCTTAGAGAAGGAGGGGGCCATCAGGACTTCTGTGAAGGAATCCAGATCAAAGATGGGGGTTCAGCCTCCACATGAACACTGTGAGAACTCGCCACCCTTCTGGACATTAGTTCCACGGTCCAATGCTCTTTATAGGAGAAAGCTTTTCCCCACCACTTAACCAGGATCTGCCTGTCTGTAACTCTAGTTTGTTTGTCCACATATCGCACACTGGAACTATGGAGATCAGATTTAGATGGTGTTCTGTGTGACTTCCTTTCAGATTCTCCCCAGCGCTGAATAAGAATTGGCCTTTATGGGCCTGGAGACCATGGCTCCAAGTCTTGGGTCTGGAGATGATGGAGAACACCTCTCAGCTTTCTTTCGTTCGGGACCTCCTTTCGGTGCCTTTCCTCCTAGCAGTTTTCCGCTAGGTTCCTTCTAATGGTGGCGACACAAGAGAGAACTGGGCTCATGGTTTCCACGTAGGACAAAAAGAAGAGTTCGATGTTTCAGGAGTGTGTGTTCAAGATGTTCCTTTTCCAGTGTGGCTTTCCACAGCCTTCAGAACTTGGAAAGTGTTGCGTCACTTGAAAGACCAGTTTGAAAAGAGGTTGGGTTGGGAGGAGAAGCCAGAAATGGTACGGAGGAAATAAATCTGTATTTCTCAGCTCCCAGTTGAGGGTCACAGAAAGAACCCAATGCAGGTTCTTGGGGAGGCAGGAATAACAACAAAGGAAGGTGTTTTGAGTTGACTTCCTCACCCCCCCCCCCAAAATGACAATGAACTTAGCCAAGTCTGGTGGAGAAGACATCTCTGCACCCATCTGAGCTTTCAGTGACAAACTCCTTTTTAAGATAAGACTGCCAAATTCCCAGATACCGAACCTATTTTTGAGGTGTGTTCTCTCTCGAAGGTTCATCCTTCAAAGGGCATTTGACCCGAGGGCACCCACTTTCCACCAGCTCATTGCTACATTTGCTGGGCTGAGATTGGGGCTGCACAATTCAGGGTGGTGGGAAATCCAACCAAATTCCACACCCTGCTCTGCATTTCAGATGCTAGAGCCGTGTTTCCCAAATCATCATGCTCTCCAAATGTTTTGGGCCAGGAACAGAAGACTAACACGTCAGAAAACACCAGCGCAGCTTCCAAGTCTGTTTAGCTCCAAGATGGAAGAACATTTCCCAGGACCCCCAAGAGACGGATCTTCAAACTGTGCAGAGTTCCCAGGCAAAACTCACCCAGCTGAAACCTACCCCAAAAAAGTTGTGAAAGAGAATAGAAGCTGCTTTTCCTTCTTGTGGAATGGTTCAGTTGGTGCGAGGGCTTCTAAGCATGAGAACTGGTTTACGGGGCTGGGAGTGAGCGGCTTTGAAGTTTTGAACTCTTGGCACTGCCAGCTATGAATTAGGACTTAAAAGCAGGCCGCCGCTGGCATTCTTTGGAGCGTTTTGGCTCCGGAGACAGACTGAAAGGGAACTGAACTCAGGCTTCGCATCTTGGAGCATGTGCTGAGCGGGTGAACTGCAGATGTATGGGGGAGAACTTCCTTCTGGGGTTCTGCCTCAGCCCAGGCCCTGTTGAAGGACCGGGAGGAACGCACTGACTTCACATTTGGACGTGAATTTAAACCCCATTTTGTGTTTCCCACCTAGCAGGGAACCCAAAATTGGGTTATCCTTCAAAATTCACTCTTCTTGGTATTTTGCAATGCCCCCAGTGGAAGGAAGGAAGGAAGGAAGGAAGGAAGGAAGGGAGGGAAGGAGAAGGGAAGGAGAAGGAGAAGGAGAAGGAGAAGGAGAAGGAGAAGGAGAAGGAGAAGGAGAAGGAGAGTCTGCATAAACATAATGCAACATGATCTGAAAAGAAAGTATGTAGAGCATTAAAAAAAATTCAAAACTGCAAAATGCTAGAGAGTATTATTGGCCAAAAGCGTGCCCATCAGGCAAATCTCTTCCCGTTGGGTGGAGATGGGCAGCATACAAATTTAATAATAAATAAATAAATACTGAAGAAAGCTCACAGCTTGGGGGCCACTTTGTGCTCTTCCCATCCAGGGACCCCTGCTGGCCCCGACCCACGCCTGCTGCCTTTACACCACGTCCACCAAGCCACTGAGAGGAAGAGCAGATGGTGCTCTTATCCATAAAGGCGCCCGTTCGAGGAGCCACGGAAACAGGGCAACCGAACAGCGAGGTCAGCAGTGGCCTCGCCCGATGGATGGTGCCCAAAGCCATTCCTGCAGGGGGTCTTCTCCACCCCAACGGGTAGCCTGAAGATTTGTCCCCATCGCCCTCAACGCTTCACGCTCTTCTGCTGCTAAGGAACAAAGCGCTCTTCAACCAGAGACAGTGGTGTATTGATCCTAAAGGGCACCCAACTAAGAAAATGCCAGCTTTTAAAAGCTGCCGAGTCCCTTTACCCAAATCCTCTGAAGGGAGGCTCCAGAGCCTCTTGGCTGAGCCGGAGCAAAATCCATGTTCTGGGAAAGCTGGCGCTCTGCGACCTTAACCACACTGAGCTGGCAGTTGGCACCTTGAAAAACCAGTCCACCATTCCAATAGAAGAGATTCTCTGTAGCTCGGGGTTGAACTGTGGCGCCCTTGGTGCTCTCCGAGCTTGGTGGTTGCCTTGCAGACCTTTCACGACCCAGCGAGGTCACATCGTCAGCGCTGATGATGTGACCCGGTACGTATATCTAATTACTTAGATGTTACCGCTCTTCTATTGGAATTATTGACTGACTTTAGACTCACGGTGATTCTGTCCAGATAGTTTTCTTGGCAAGAATGAGAAGTGGTTTACCGCTGCCTCCTGAAGCCTGGGATCTGGGAAATCTAGCCTATCCCGCTGAGATTCCCCGGTGGTCTCCCATCCAAAGACTAACCAACATCCCGTTGAGCTTCCAAGCTAGTCAACATCAGCCAGCTTCAGTGCAAACACCACACTGGTTATCCTCATCAGTAGTCACCAGGGAGAGGCCAAAACACTAGTAAGTGGAGAAAAATACGGAGAAGGTAAGGTTGAGATAGATGGGCAGACGGCCTTGCCTGCTATAAAGTAGTTTAATAGCGCTCCACCCTGTTGCCAATTCCAAGTGTTTGTTAATCCCGAAATCAAATAATTCAAAACAGTGTCAGGCTGAACACACATCTTCCCTTCCTTTGATGTGATTAACACATTCACAGCTCTCTTATTATCTAAGTACCGTGTGGGAGGGAAATAAATCCCCATTTGCCCCAGATTTGGGCACGACAGGCTCGGGCATGGGTCCTCATGGCGCGTTCGTTTGCCCCGTCGGTGTCGGTTTCTTTAAACCAATCATTCATTTCCACGTTCCTGAAAGGCCTGCTTGGTTCCTAGATTTCTGCAAGTTCCTGGGCTCAGCCCACTTGTAAAATACAACAAAAAAGTGAGATGGGTAGAGGGAATTGGTGGAAAAAGAAAATCTCTACGCTTCTGGGGCCTCCTCCTTCTCCGCTGCATAACTGGGCTATAAAAGACGTTGGAATCAATTTAAGAGCGTGGTGGATTGTTTGATGAGGTTTCTCTGAATGGGGGGAAATCTGGGTACGGAGGAGAGGAGGGAATATGGTTCTCGGTAGAATTTGCTGAACCAGGGACAAAACATTTCCTGCAAAGAAAAGAACACGTAGCGGCTTTCAGAACGCACGGGGTTTCTTTTAGTCAAAACCATCTGGCTTCGAAAGGACGGGGAAGAAAGAGACGGGCCTCGAATGGGATGGCAGGATACCAAGAAATGGACGGGTAGGATGCAGAAATGTTTAAAAAAGGCTGCGGTTGGGCAGCAGCAAAGGTTTTGCGGGCCAACCGTCCCGGGTTCGGTCCGCAGCAGGTAGGACCGGAAACCGTGACGCCTTGAAAACTCAAACGAAGCGCTTTCTGCTCCTTTCCCACCAGCTCGACGTCTCTCCGCTGCTGCAGCTCGGCAAGGATGCAAACAATTAACCGAGCTACAAAAATATAAACCCGCTTTTTTTTTTCTTTTAAGCAGAATCGGGAAGCAAGGAAATAATTAGGAGAAGAAGGGGCTCAAAGACACTGCAGCGAAGCAGAAAACCGAAGAACGGTTAGAAACGCAGATTGGGAAGGAGAGGGGAACAAAGTCTATTGTTTTGAGTTGGGTTTTGAACTTGCATTCTTATTATTTTTTTTATTTGAGTTGCTCTCATCCAGTGTTCTTCAACCCGGGCAACTTTAAGAGGGGTGGACTTCAACTCCCAGAATTCCTCAGCCAGCAGGGCTGGCTGAGG